CCTGCCTTTGCCGGTGGCCATCTGAGGGCTCTGGCACTGGGCTCGACCCCCCCCCAACTATGTGGCATCCCGTGCCTGGTCTTCCCTCTTTGTCCCCGTGCAGGACTCCACCATCCACAGCAAAGGGCAGTGGATCCTCCTGCCAGCACCCCTGGATACCATCAACGTCCATGTCCGTGCAGGGCACATCCTGCCCCTGCAGGTGAGCCCCCTCTGCTCTGTGGGGACACCAGGGTGGCCTGTCTGAGCAGCCTGGGAGGGTGGCAGTACCCACACCGCTGCCAGGACAATGCCAGAGAAGCTGTGGCTGCAGGGCTGAGGGACACGGCTGTGGCAGTGCCCCGAGCTGTGCCTGCCCTGTGCCCCAGGAGCCTGCATTCAGCACTGCCCAGTCCCGTGGGAAGGGCATGGCCTTGGTGGTGGCGCTGACCCTGGATGGCTTCGCCAGAGGAGACCTGTTCTGGGACGATGGGGAGAGCTGGGAGACCTCTGAGAGGGGGGACTACACAGAGATCCTCTTCCTGGCCTCCAACGTGAGCACGGGGAGCTGCTGGCGGGGGTGTCTGGGCAGGGGCTCCTGGTGGCCCTGGCACACGTGTGTCTGCTAGTGGCCAGCAGAGGGGCAGCAGGTGGGGCAGGGCACCTGGAGGAGCCCTGAATGCACGTGGGGTGGCTGAGAGGCAGGGGCACACGGTGCCATCCCCGTAGGACGCCGTGCTCAGCCAGCTGCTGCGGGGCAGCGCCCACCTCGACGGGGTCCTGCTGGAGGCCGTGACTGTGCTGGGGGTCACCAGCCCTCCCCGGCAAGTCCTGGCCAACAGTGCCATCGTGAGTGACTTCTCCTACCGCAGTGACACCCAGGTGAGTGCTTGTTCCCACCCTGGGGAGGGGTGCTGGCCAGGAAGGGACCTGGAGTGTGGCCGAGGGGCTGGCGGGGTCCGCCCCAGTGATGGCACAGCACAGGCCATGGGTGCCCTTCCGGGGGATCTGTGGGACCAGGACTGTGCCAGGCTGGGGCTCTGCAAGGGCCAGGATCGCCCTGGGCTCTGACATTCCTGGGCTCCCTCCTGGCTGGCTCTCACCTTCCTTGTCCCCTCAGGTGTTGAGAGTCCCTGTGTCACTGCCCATGTGGGAGCAGTTTGTGATCTCCTGGTCCTGACCCAGCATCAGTCACAGGGAGAAGCCGTGCTGCTCCCCTGGAATCCGAGGCCAAATCCATCCCATCCCCTGTACCCTGAGCTGCCCCTGCTCCTCCCACACTTCCTGGACCTTGTTCTCCCTCTGCTGCTGGGCATCGATGGAGGGCTGTGCACTGACTGGCAGACAGAGGGGAGCCTTGCACAGTCCCCAGGGACAGGGAAAACCTCACCATCATCAAATCAGGGAAAAAGACCTAAGTGCCTTGTGAGACAGCAAACCAGTTACTCTTGGAGACTGATAACTGGGGCAGAGAACTACAGGGAGTTTCCTGGCTGTGGTTTTGGGGAGGGGGATGTTCAGGGGCTGAGGGAGCAGTACTGTGAATAAAGCTGCTGTTTGCTGGGAGCAGCCCCAGGCAGTGTCCTTGTCCTCTCTCCCTGCCTCTGGGCTGGGACACCCCAGCTCTGTCCCTGCCTGGAGGTCTCCAGTGGGACTCCGTGTGTCCCTTGAAGCCTTTGCCCTGCTTCCCAGAACACTGGGGGTCCCCAGCTGTTCCTGCAGCCCTGACTGTGCCACAGAGGCCCTTGGCCTGTCCTGCTGCCTCCAAGCTCGGGGCTGCTACAGATGTGTGCTCAGCTCCAGGTGAAAATGGAGCCTTATCCTCCAGAGGCTTTATTGAGGGGCAGCTTGGCCTTTTAGCTCCTCTGGCTGAGAGCCAAGGCACCAGGAATCCCTCAGTGCTCTGGGCCCAGGCGGTGCCAGCAGCAGAGAGGGCAGAGCCTTGTGGTGCCACCCGGGGTTTGGGACCAGCCCATCACACTCCTGCTCCGAGCCCTCGTGCCCCACAGGAGCGCAGCGCTGTCCCGGGCACAGGTGGCACTCACAGCTCGTTGTGCAGCGGCCGGCACTGGGGGCTCAGTTTCTCCTCCAGGACACCGTCGGGGGCGCACACCCAGGGGTCCCCCGTGTCCCACTGCCACTTGAGGAGCTGCGCACGCAGCAGCTGCAGGACGCTGGCGTAGCGGGGGTCGGGGGCCAGGTTCTGGCTCTCAGTGGGGTCACGGCTGCAGTCAAAGAGCTCCCAGCGGGCCCGGTAGTAGTACTGGTGCAGGCTCTTGTTCCAGTGCGTCGGCTGCCCCGCCCTGGTGCGGTTCAGCAGGTCCTGGAAGGTGGGTGAGACATAGAAGTCCTGGTCGATGGGGAAGGGCATCTTGTAGTTGAGGTTGTGGATGAGGCGGAACTGCTGGTGCTGGATGGCTCGCATGGGGTAGTACATGGTCACCTCGTGGTGGCTCTGGCTGCTGAAGGCAGTGGTCCAGGGCTGCTCCGACTCCAGGGCTGGCAGGAGAGACTTTCCTGTGAGCTGCACCCGCCTGGTGCCAAAGATGCTGTAAGCAGGGTAAGGGATGGAGAACCAGTCCAGAATGGTTGGTGTCAGGTCTGGAGGGGAGGAAAAGAGTGAGAGCAGGGACGGGCACTGTGGGAGGAAACTCAGCTCCAGAGAGGGGCAGAAAGGTCCCCAGGGATGGTGTCCCTGCAGGGGACCCTGTTCCGTCCTCCCTCCTCTCCCTTCCCTGCACTGGCCCTGCCAATGCTGAGGGCTCAGGGCTGCCCCCAGGGACAGGACCCTGAGTTTTGGTGTAGGGAGGGTGGGGAGCAGCCCACAGCCCCAGGCACAGCTGTGCTGCCTCCCTCCCTCAGCTCTTACCCAGGAGGCTGGCGAAGGCCGGGCTGACTTGCCCCCAGCGCTGGGGGTGCTCGGGGGAGGAGAGGAGCAGCGGCTGGGCGGTGCCCGAGCGGTAGAGGTTGGTCCTGCCACCGGGGAAGGGGATGCCATTGTCGGAGGTGTAGATCACCAGGGTGCTGTTGAGAAAGCCGGCACGGCGCAGCTCCTCCAGCACCAGCCCGATCCCTGTGAGAGGAAGGGCAGAGCTCAGGGGGGAGGGACGGGCTGCAGAGCTCAGCCCCAGCCCAGCCATGGCTCCCACCTTGGTCCATGCGCCCGATGGTTGTGTACTGGGCAGCGAGGTCCTCCCGGGCAGCCAGCGTGTCTGGGACAAAGGCAGGGACCTAAACGGAGACAGGGAAAGGGGCATGTGGCTGACACAGGCCCCTGTGCCTTCGCCAGCTCTTGCTGTGACACTGGGGGCAGTGACAAGCTGGGGGCAGCCCTGGCTCCTTCAGAGGCTGCCATCATGTGCAGCCCCACAGAACCCCACACATTCCCACAGGTTCTCACTTGCACTTGCTCCGGGTGGTAAATCTGTGGCTTCCAATCAGGGATCCAGCCCATCCCGCTCTCTCCATTGCCAAACTTCTCACAAAAGACTCCATACTGGGGCTGGGAGTGCCCGCAGCGGTGGGGGTCGTGGAAGGCAACATAGAGGAAGAAAGGCCTAGGGATGGAAAGGGAGGAGGTGGAGGTGGTGAAGCAAAGGACTACCTGGAGACCTTGCTGAGCTGTGCCGTGGCGAGCTGGGGTCAGCAGGACTCCCCCCACCTAATCTGGATATAGGGGAACCCAGGGACAAGGGGCTCCTTCCTGTTTGTGACCAGCTGGGCCATGGGGACACATCTTCAGTGAAGCCAGCTTCCCTCCTCCCGACAGCCATTCCCAGGACAAGGAGGAAGTCTCACCTCTCGTCCTGGCTCTGCAGGAACTGCCGGACGAGCACCTTGATCCGGGTGATGTTTCTCCCAACCTGCAGGACTGAACTGTTCTCCTCTGTGTAGGCAAAGTCGAAGGGGTACACAGCCCCTGGCCCCACATGCTTCTTCCCAATTATCCCTGTGAGAATGCAGACAGCTGCTGTGCCAGAAGCAGTGCAGGGGGGATGTGGCTGCTGCTGTCTCCTTTCTGTGGGGACAGCCACAGGTCCAGGCAGGGCTCCCTGGCCCATGGGCAGTTTAGCTCTGCCAGTGTCTGTTTGGTGTTCCCTGCTGGTCCCAGCTCCTGCCTGTCCCAGCTCCTACCTGTCCGGACGCCTGCATGGCTGAGCAGCTGGGGCAGGCTCCGCACGCCGTCGAAGGAGTTGAAGTGATGCACGTCCTGGTGCAGCCCGTACATCCCGTTCTGGTGCTGCAGGTGAGGGGACACGGCACGGTCGGACCGGGGCTGCCAGCCCAGCTCCAAAACACGTCCAGCCGTGCTCGTGACACCTGCCGTGGGCTGGCAGCCCTGGCCCGGCACAGGCAAGTGCTCCTACCTGAGGTAAACCGGTCAGGATGCTGGCCCGGCTCGGGGAGCAGCTGCTCACGGAGGTGAAGGCGTTCTGGAAGACCAAAGCGCGCCGGGCCAGCGCGTCCAGGTTCGGCGTGCGGATGGCCGAGTTGTTGTAGGCGCCGCTCTCAAAGCCGCCGTCATCGGCTGCGGGACGGGTGGGGGGTCAGCCCGGGGCTGTCCCGGACCGGGCACGGGGACAAGGCCGGGGGCACTGATGATACCGGGAGCACGCGGGCTGCGGGTGCCCCGGGCGGTGCTGCGGAGGGGATGCAGAGGAGCCCGGCACCGTCCCTCTCTCGCAGCCGCGGGATGCCCCGGGCAGGGGGGTCCGGGCCGGCTCCGGGGCTGGGCCAGGCCGCACTCACCCAGGAGCAGCAGCACATTGCGGGCCGGGGCCGCGGCTCCGCCGGGGCAGAGCGCGCCCAGCAGCAGCACCAGCGCCCAGGGCCGCATGGCACCGGCACCGCCACCGGCACCGCCACCGGCTCCGCACCGGTAGCGGGGCTCGGCGGCTCCTCCGGCCGCCCCGGCTCCTCCTCACCCCGGTCACATGAGGCGCCCCGGCCGCTCAGATCCGGCGCGGGCGGAGCCGCGGTCGGTGCCGGGCTGGCACCGGCGGCTCCGCGCAGCCCCGGCCCGCGGGGTCCCGCTCCGCTCCGGTACCGGCCCCGGCCCGCGGGGTCCCGGCCATGTCGGGGTCCCGGTGTCCGCGCCCGGCGCTGCCGGTGCTGCGCTGGCTGCCGCGGTACTCCCGGGCGTGGCTGCCGCTGGACCTGCTGGCCGGGCTGGCCGTGGGACTGACCGCCGTGCCCCAGGCGCTGGCCTACGCCGAGCTGGCCGGGCTGCCGCCGCAGGTGGGTGCCGGGCCCGGGGCCGGGAGCCGCGGACCTGCCGCTCCCCGGGCTGCCTCCGGCCGGGGTGATCCGGGACCCCGCTCCCGGAGCCGCCCGGCGCTGTGGCGGGCAGGGCTGGGCTGGGTGACCAAGGGCTGGCGCTGTGCAGGCGCCCATTTCCCGGGCAGGATGCCATGCGTGTGCCAAAGGGCCTGGAGTGACCCGAGATCAGCCCAGCCTTCCCAGTCCGGGAGGTGTCCGGCCTCTCCCGGCTCCCAGGGCTGTGCCAGTGCCCCTTCTGTCCCCCTGCAGTACGGCCTCTATTCCTCCTTCATGGGCTGCTTTGTCTACTGCTTCCTGGGCACGGCCAAGGACGTGACGCTGGGTCCCACGGCCATCATGTCCCTGCTGGTCTCCTCATACGCCTTCCACCAGCCCGTCTATGCCGTCCTGCTCGCCTTCCTCTCTGGCTGCATTCAGCTGGCCATGGGGCTCCTGCGCCTCGGTGAGATGCTCCTGCCATGCACAGATGTATGCTTAGGATGTTGCTGTACAGCCTGTAGTTTTTCCTTCCTCCTCGCTGCTCTCTGGGACACTGGGATTGTCCTGCTGGCACACTGGGGTCAGGAGCATGCTCACTGCCTGCCATCCCATGCAGGATTCCTTCTGGATTTCATTTCCTGCCCTGTCATTAAGGGGTTTACATCAGCTGCTTCCATCACCATTAGCTTCAACCAGATCAAGGTAGGACCTGCCCCCTGTCCTGGCTGCCTCTCCAGCTCTCTCCTAGTGCTGTGCAACTGGGATATTTAGCACTGGGCTGGGTGATGTCCTTGGTGCTGGGGGAGGAAGCCCCAAAGGGGTCCTGGGACCCCCCGCCAGTGGTTCTGCTGATCCCTGAGCGCTCTGCTCGGAGCAGACCAGGCTGAACACACCCTCTCCTGGTGACCAGCTGGTGGCATCCAGGACACCAGTAAGACCAGGACATGGGATTTGGTCACTTGCAGGAGGCACTGAGCGATTCTCTGGCAAATTCGGGTTTGCAAATTGGAAGCCGGGGGTGGTTTGCAGCCCCAGCAGCCCCTCACTGGCATCCCAGGGACCTGAGGCTCTGCTGGGCTGCCACACTTCCTTTGCGGTTAACCCAAATCAGAGCCTCTGGCAGCAGCTCCAGGCCGGCGTTGGCCAAGGGCTGCGGTCACGGGGCCGGGCTGCCAGCACACTTTGTCTGCCTGCACAGAACATCCTGGGGCTGCAGGGCATCCCGAGGCAGTTCTTCCTGCAGCTCTATGAGACACTGCGGAGGATCGGGGAGACCAGGTCAGCACCAGCCTGCCCTGCTCCCTGCCCTGCAGCCGCTTCACTCCAATCTGTGGTCACAGCTTGGACTGATTTCTCGGCTGGGACACAACCCCCCTGCCCCAGGCTGTGTGGGAGCTCTCACAGCATGTTTGGGGTGGCACTGATGTGCCTCTTGCAGGGCTGGGGACGCTGTGCTGGGGCTGAGCTGCCTGGCCACGCTGGCAGGGCTCCGGGCCATGAAGAGCCACCTGCCCCAAGCTGCCCCCACAGAACCACTGGCTGTCAGGATCAGCTACCTGATTGTCTGGATCTCTGCCACAGGTGTGTTAGCTGTCCCCTACTGTCACACTGTGACACAAAATAAAGAACCAGGCCAGATGTAAAAGGAAAGAAAAAGAACTGAAAAAGGCAAACTTGATTTTCTGACTCTACTCTATACAGTAGCAAAAGTGACAGTGGATCGGAGGGTGAAACTGCCACCTCTCCAACCATACTGGTCAAACTAACAGTCCATCAATTCTCTTCACCCACAGAGAAGAATGAAAAACAATCATTGTTTATATGAACAGTGTGAGAAAACTCAGTAAAAATATGTAAATATCAGAAGACATTGAAACTTTTAGAAGAACTTTAAAACCCTTAAAAGAACAGGGCGACACCCTGCCCCATCCCCTCCCAGGGGCTCATCTCTTTCGGTCAGGGAAGGCAGGGCCTGAAACTGGGAAACCCAGGCTGGCAGGAGGCAAGACCTGGAGGTGGGTCAGGGAGGACAATGTCCCAAGGCTCCTGCCACTGTGCCCCCTCCTAGGCTGGGAGGTCCCCAGCAGCTCAGATGTGCATCTCCTGCCCTGCTCCCGCTGCCCTGGGCTCTGGGCAGCTTTCAGGGTTGCTCTCTCCACTTTGGCAGCACGCAACGCTCTCGTTGTCCTGTTTGCTGGCCTGGTGGCTTACTCCTTCCAGGTGATGGGCTCCCAGCCCTTCAGGCTCACTGGCAGCATCCCCCAGGGCCTACCAGCCTTCCGGCCACCACGCTTCTCCCTGGCAGCGCCCAACGGCACCGTCCCCTTCCAGAGCATGGTGCAGGTGGGTGCTGGCAGCTCCCCAGGGGCTGCTCTGCTCCCTCCTGCATGTGCTGGGTCCCAGCCCCCCCTGACTGGATCCTTCCTCCCAGGACATGGGGGTCGGGCTGGCCGTGGTGCCGCTCATGGGGCTGCTGGAGACCATCGCCATCGCCAAGGCTTTTGGTAGGGCTGGGCCAGGGTCCTGCCCTGTGCTCCCAGGGGGTCTCTGCGGGGGCTCGGGGTGCTGGGGAGGGGTCTCTGTAAGGGCTTGGGGTGCTGGGGAAGGTGCTGTTCCTTTTGGGCCATTGGGAGGGACTGGGCTCCAGTTCACAGCATGGGCTGGCAGGAGGGGTCCTGTGGGGTGCACAGATGAAATTTGCCCAGGAGGTGAATGTTGTCTCGGGGTGCTCCTGTGTCAAAGGGGTGCCAGGACAGGGCCCACGCTGTCCCAGTTGCTGCTGGTTTCACTCCGTGTGCATGGCAGGTGCCTGTGTGAGCCTTAGGCCAATGCCACCATCTCCTTTCAGCCTCACAGAATGGTTACAGGATTGACCCCGACCAGGAGCTGCTGGCTCTGGGTAAGAGATGCTTGCTCAGGATGGCATGGGTGGGGCTGGGTGTCCCACAGCCCCTGGGCTGCCTGGGATCCCCATCTGGGCAGTCCTGGGGACACAGGCACAGCAGTGCCTCCCCGGCCCCTCTCCTTTGTCTCCTCAGGTGTTGCCAATGTCCTGGGCTCCTTCGTCTCCTCGTACCCCATCACAGGCAGCTTTGGCCGGTGGGTAGCAGGAGGGGGAGCAGGGCTCTCACTGGGGCTGCGTGGTGAGGGAGCTCTGCAAGATCCTGAGTGGAAGACTGTGCTGTCCCCAGTAGGTCCCGTCCCTGAGCTCGTGCCCTGGTCCCCAGCAGCCCACCTTGGTGGGCTATGCATGTGTCCCTCTTCCCTTTGCTGAGGGCCACTTCCCTTCCTGCTGTGCGGTCCTGGAGGCCGGGGGCTTGCTGGTGTTCCTGGCTGACAGGGCGGGCGGCTCTCCTGGGTGGGGTCTGGGCAGTGGGCAGGAGCAGCCCCAGCCCCTGGCCCTGCACAGCCTGGCACGTGTGGGTTTGCGTTTCAGGACGGCGGTGAATGCTCAGTCAGGGGTCTGCACCCCCGCAGGAGGGCTCCTCACAGGTCCTGCCCTGCCCTGCCCTGCCCTGCCCCCGGGCTGCTGCCCATGCCAGGGACCCCTGGGTGTTGGGGATCCTTGGGTGTTGAGGACCTCTGGGTGTTGGGGACTCCTGGGTGTCAGGGCCCCTGGGTGCTGGGGACCCCTGGGTGCTGGGGACCCCTGGGTGTTGGGGACCCCTAGGTGCTGGGGACCCTGGGTGTTGGGGATCCTTGGGTGCCGGGGACCCCTGGGTGCTGGGGACCCCTGGGTGCCGAGGACCCCTGGGTGCTGGGGACTCCTGTGTGTTTGGGATCCCTGGGTGTTGGGGATCCCTGGGTGTGGAGACCTCTGGGTGTTGGGGATCCCTGGGTGTGGCGACCTCTGGGTGTTGGGGATCCGTGGGTGTGGGGACCCCTGGGTGCCAGGGACCCCTGGGTGTTGGGGATCTCTGGGTGGATCCCTGGGTGTGGAGACCTCTGGGTGTTGGGGACCCCTGGGTGTCGGGGATCCCTGGGTGTTGGGGATCCCTGGGTGCTGGGGTGCTCAGGGTCCCCCCTCCCGCAGGTGCCCTGGTCCTGCTGTCCCTGGCGTACCTCACTTCTCTCTTCTGCTACATCCCCAAAGCGGCTCTGGCCGCCGTCATCATCTCGGCCGTGGTGCCCATGTTTGACGCTGGCATCTTCCGGACGCTCTGGCGGGTTAAGAGTGAGGGCATCCGTGGGCAGTGAGCAATCCCCCTGTTTAGGACACTTCCCAGTCCAGCATCCAGGAGCCACGCCGGCAGTCACACTCGCCCCCCTGAGCTGGGACTGAGGCTCCTTGGCGGCTCCCCCCTGCCCCACTCACACAGACCAGCTTTCCTCTCTGGCTCTACCCCAGGTTTCCCATAGGAGAGTCTCATGTGTCCAGATCCTTAAAATAATTTAATCATGGTGCCATGACTAAATAACAGAATAACAGCTTGAGTTGGGTGTTTCTGAGGAGGGATCCAGAACAAAGGAGCCTGTGAGCTTTTATCGCCTCACAGGCATACAAAAGTCTGGGGCTGGTCTCTGAGTGTCCCATCACTGTCTCTTAAGTGTCCCATCACTCTTAAGTGTCCCATCGTGTGGCTGCCCACGGTTCCCGGGTCCTTTGTCATGCAATGGGGACAGTTCATGGTTCACAGCCCCTTCCAAGGGCTCCCACCCAGAGCTCCACCTAAGCTGCCCCAGCCACCTGCACCCTGTGGCACCAGGACCAGCCACAGCCGAGCCTGGCTTCTCTCTCTTTCAGGGCTGGACCTTGTGCCCCTCTGTGTGACATTCCTGCTCTGCTTCTGGGAGGTCCAGTATGGAATTGTGGCTGGGGTGCTGGTTTCTGGGGTTCTCCTGCTCTACTCCATTGCCAGGCCCCTAATAAAGGTGAGCTCCACCTCTGCCCTTGTGTTGGTTTTCCCAGCTTTTCAGAGATGGGGCAATGGAGAGGCGTTTTAAAAGATTTTATTCCGTTATCAGTCTTGATGAAGGGTGAGACATAAGAGATGTATAACTCAATGCCATTCCATTAGAAGCCAAACTATTTCCTGGTTACAATACCTTAGAAATGTTTTTCAGCCTATTAGCTTTTGCCACACAATGCTGCTATTACTTCTAACTCAAATCACCTGTATTTTTACCCCATGTAATGCCACAATGCATCTTTCACAGTTCTGATTCTCTAAAATGTCTGGTGTTTTTGCAAGGCCATCATTTGAAACTTGTTGAAACTTGTTTCTAGTTCAATCTCTCTCCCAACAATGTCATCTCTATTCCATGGCCTTCCTAAGCCAGCACAGCTCATCTCAGAGTTTGCATACACATGTACAAAACTGTGTGAGCTTTCTGTCAGATTTTGAGAATTCCTTACAAGTCAGCTTCTTACTCCTTTGGATGTGGCAGGGCCAGGGAGCTGGGAGGGGACTCCTGAGGGCACTGGGGTGCAGGATGCTCCTGACCTGTTCTTGCTGTCCCCAGTCTGCCACAGGCACGGCACAGGGACCCTTTCAAAGAGCTGGAGGAAGGGAACAGCCTCAGACTGGACATCAGGAGAGGGAGGCATTGCCGTCCCTGCCCTGCTGACGCTGGGCTGTGTGCAGGAGGGTTTCCCTGAGGAATGGGGGCTCCTGCTTTCTCCCAGTCCATCCAGGAGGGCAGTGGGTGACACGGGCAGTTGTCCCTGGGGAAGGTCACAGCCCTGAGCTCCCTGTGGCTGTCTGCCCCCACAGGTGTCAGAGGGGGCCGTGCTGCTGGTGCAGCCAGGGAGCAGCCTGCACTTCCCAGCCGTGGAGCACCTGAGGGACTCGGTGTGCAGCCGTGCTCTGGCAGGTACAGTGCTCCCTGCGTGTCCTGGGGACACGGCTGTCACCGCCTGCATCACTCTGGTGTGGGTGGCAGGTGCCGCCCAGGCCCAGGGACTGCGTGTGCGAGCGGTGACAGCGCAGCTGTCCCACCCCTGCCCGCCCTGCCCTGGCTCTGAGGGCTGGGACCCCTAGGCTGCTCATTTCTGGACATGTTGGGACATGACCTTATGCTCTTCCAGCAGCATCTCCAGCACGCTCTGTGGTGCTGGACTGCTGCCACGTCAGCAGCATTGATTACACGGCGGTGCTGGGGCTGGCAGAGCTGCTGCGGGAGCTGCGCAGGCACGGCCTCTCGCTGGCCTTCAGTGGCCTGCAGGTGTGTGGGAGGGTGTGGCTGATGGGCTCAGCGCAGCTGCCCTCCCCGGGCTCTGTGCTGGCCTCTCTGGTGGTCCATCACTATCCCAGGCACCTCCATCTCACAGAGCTGGAGGCTGGGGCACTGGGAAGGGCAGTGTGTTCCTGCTGGGATGGCTGGGGACTCTGCCCCGGGGGGATGGGGAATGGCCAGCACTCCCCCAGCCCAGGTTTCTCTGCCCTCAGGACCCCGTTCTCCAAGTCCTCCTGTCTGCAGACTTAGAAGGATTCCAGCATTTCCCCAGCTGGGAGGAGGCAGGTGAGGCTCTGGGCTGCTCTCCCAGGACAGGATGAGTGTGGCTCTGGAGGACTCCCATGGGGATCTGACCTGTCCAGCTGCAGGGCAGCAGTGTGGGGGCTGCAGGGACTCCTGGGAGGGTGAGCTGGAGCATCTCCCAAGAATTGGGTCTCCCCAGCCTAGGGGATTTGTGGTCAGCTCTGGTGATTCAACCCAGCAGCAGCTCAGCACAACTTCCCTTCCCCTGCAGAGGGGTGGGGCAGAATCAGAGAAAAGGTAAAACTCTTGAGCTGAGATGAAGGCAGTTTAATAGAAAAGAAAAAGAAAATTACAATAACCATAAAGGAATATCCAAAGCAGGTGATGCACAGTGTGCTTGCTCACCACCCTCTGAGCAATGCCCAGCCAGCCCCTGAGCAGTGGCCCTCACCCCTCAGCCATATCCCTGCAGTGTTTCCTTCAGCACCATGCCCTGTGCTCTGCAACATCCTTCTGGGCTCTGGGGCAGCTCTCCTGTCTCTGCCCCCTCCCAGCTCCTCGCTGCCCAGGCAGCCTGGGAGCCTGAGAAGTCCTTGGCTGAGCCATCAGACTGTTATCAACAGCAGCCTCCTCCTGAGCCCAAAAACAGCTCTGAACCCGCTCCTGGGGATAAAATTCCCTCTATTCCAGCCAGAACCAGGATATGAGCCTTGCCTTGACTCTGCTTCCCCCTCTCCTGTCCCAGAGCATTGCGGAGGAGCAGAGCTGGGGGGCAGCAGGGCAGAGCCTCTCATTGGCACCACTGAGAGCACCGGGCTCATCCAGTGAGACCAGTTTGGGCTGTGTCCTGTGCCACCCCAGTGACACCAACAGCCTCCGTGGGAGCCACCTGCCCCAGGCAGACCTCTGGGCATGGGGATGCACTGTCCCCATGTCCCACACCGAGATGGACAAAGCAGCACCAGCCCAGCCCCACACGGGCTGTGGGACAGAACTGTTCCCTGTCGCAGTGACCAGTGCAAAGCCATCCTTCCTCCAGGGAGCTGCTGTAATTTTTTAAACAACTGTTTTAATTCTGGACCTTTTCCATGTTCTGTGCTGCTCCAGTGGTGATGTAGGCTGAGCTCTCAAAGCTGCTTCAGGGCTGCTCTGCTGCCTTCCAAGCGAACACAAGGGCTTAGCCTCCAGCTGCTGGGAAAGGGAAAACATCTGGGATTGTGCTCCTTACTGATTTTTATCTTTACTGTTATAAACGAGAGTTTGTTTTAGCCAGAATAAAAAATAAAAATAATTTTATTAGCGGTCAAATTCTATCTAGCCAGCCACACAGAAAGGACAGAGCCGTGCCCGGGGTCGACCCTGGGTGTGCAACAAGGAGTCAGCCTCAGCAGAGGTTTTCTCCTATGCCCACACACCTCCATCCTGGCACATCCTGAGGCCAAGGTTTTAGCAATCAGTCCTTTCTTCTATTCGGAGTCCATATGTTAATAAGGATTTCTTTTTGGTGATGAGGAGAAAAAATTCAATGTTGAGCGTTTACGGGAAGGCTTCATTCACATGGATCTGTCTGAGTATTTCCATATCCATCTTGGACGATCAGCACAGAGGATCAGCACAGACAATGACCCATCTCCCGGCCGAGCCACATCCGTTTACTTGTAAATCAGTTTCCAGTATACACTCAGTCTCGCCTGCAAAAAAGGGGTGGGGTGGAGGGGGGGGAGGAACTAATACAACGGGCATGATTTAACAAGCATCCAATATTACATATTTCATACAAGGAATGGCGCGAATTATATTTACTATACATAACATTTACCTTTTTTATCCTTACCTTGTCTGTGGGGTGTTGTGCCAAACACTGCCGCAGACACACGGGTCAGGGCTGGGCTGTCACCCTGGGGTGCAGCCCCTGGCCTGGGCCCTGCCGAGGGGACAGGCACGGTGACACCAGGCTGTGTGATGGGGACAGCACCTGGTGGGCTGGGCAGGGTCAGGAATTCCGTTTCCCTGAACTGCCCTCGGCTGACAGCGAGGCTGTAATAAACCAGAAACTGCTAATGAGTCAGTGTTATCTCTGCCTTCCTGAGGGAAAGCTTTTTCCTTTTGTGTGGGAAGGGGAAGTTACCTTCTGGGTGCTGCTGAGCCTGCCAGGGAAAAGAAACTGAAAGCAGGCTGGGGTAGTGCAGATGAGCCGAGCCCGAGGGCACGTTCCGCACAGCTCCCGCCGCCGGCCGGAGGTGCTGGAAGGGCAGCACAGGTGCCCGGGAGCCACACACCTGCCGGGGCTCTGGGTCCTGCCCTGGAGCGCACTGAGCTGTGAGTTCTTGCTGCACCATGGGGATGCCGGGAGGGGGGAAACGGGGACATGGGGGTAAAGCGGGCTGGCTGTTTAGGAATGTGTGCGGGCTCAAACCTGTGTGAGCACTAGTGGAGGGCAGGGCTGCTGGGAGCCCGTCTTCGGCTTGGTCCTGGTCAGATCCGGGATGGGGCACCAGCCGTGCCCCTACTTTTGATTGCGGAATCCGCTTTTGTTTGTCGGGACCAGCACAAAGTTTCCTCCTCCAGCACACCTGCCCTGCCCTGCTGCTGCCGGGCCCTGTCCGGCGTCCCTGCGCCGGCCGGGGACACGGGCGCTGGGCTGATGGGTGGGGGGATGCTCGGGGGTACCGGGACGGACCCCCAGAGATGCCCGGCGGGGCGGGACCCATCGAGAGCCGCCCGGGGGCGGCGGCCGGGGCCGGGATTGGCCGGGGCGGTCCGGGCTGGGCGGGGACCGTGACTGCAAAAACGAAAGTTGGCGGCTCGACGGAGAAACGAAACTTGTCCAGGCGGGACTCGGCGGAGCCGGGGAATGAGCGGGCGCTGCAGGTGCTGGTGCCCGGTCACTCGGTAAGTCGCGCTGCCGGGGCGGCGAGAGGCGGCACGGGGTGCCGGGCCTGGGGGGCTGCGGGGCAGGGGCAGTCGCGGCTCCGGGACAGGCGGCACTGCGGGCTCCGGGTCCCGCTGCACCCTCCCGGTGCCTCCGGGGCGCCTTCGTGCGCCCCCATTTCCCCGGTGCACTCTGATCCTCAATCTGCCCGGAGCCCTCCGGTGTGTCCCCGGGGACTCCCATCTCCTCCCCGTTCACCCGGGACGCCGCTACCCCGCGGTGCCCCCGGTTCTGGCCCGTCTCCCTCCCCGGTTCTCCCGGTGCCCCCCCACCCCCGGGCCGTCCCGGCGCCCCCCGGGAGCCGCGCTAGCCCCGCCCCTCATCACATAACTGTCTCATTTGCATACGGCCGCTCACTCGCCACGCCATTGGCCCATCCACCCTGCTCGTTTGCATATCTCCCGAGGGGGCGGAGTGCCGCCAGTCCGCTGCGAGCGAGACGGCGTCATTTGCATACAGGCCCCGCCCACGGGGCAGGCCCCTCAAGGGCAGCGACCCGCGGGCATGGCCCCGGCCCGGTCCCGGCCCTGCTCCCGGCCCGGTCCCGCCGCTAGAACTGGCCCCGACCCCCGGCCCGGTCCCGGCCCTGCTCCCGGCCCGGCCCCGCCGCTAGAACCGGCCCCGCTCCCGGTCCGGTCCCGCCGCTAGAACTGGCCCCGACCCCCGGCCCCGCTCCCCGGCCCTGCCCCCCGGTCCCGCTCCCGGCCCGGCCCTGCCCCGCTCCCGGCCCCGCTCCCGGTCCGGCCCCGCCGCTAGAACTGGCCCCGACCCCCGGCCCCGCTCCCGGCCCGGTCCCGCCGCTAGAACCGGCCCCGTTCCTGGCCGCGGCCCTGCCCCGCCCTCCGGCCACGGCCCTGCCCGGCGGAGCAGCCCCAGGCAGGGCTCGGGAAAGGGGAGCCAGGCCTTGGGTGGGAGCACGGGCCCTCAGCGCGGAGGAGCGCTGGCTGTTTGTGTTTGCCTTTGAGCGCTGTGGTTCCCCTCACGCTCCCGGCCCGGCTCTCCAGTGTCGCAGATCTCTTCGTGACAATAAATGGGCAGAGGAGGAGGTGACGCGGCTGTGTTGCCTCACGCTGTGCCGATGTTTGTGTCTGCCCCGGCCCTGTCTGCTCCCCTTGGGTGCCAGGCAAGGCCTGCCCGGCCCCTGCAGCGCTGTGGGGCCGCGCTGGGCACCGGCCCTGGGCCCCGGGACTCGGCCTGTGGCCGGGCTGCCCTGGGGCTGCGCACTGACCACAGGCTGCCTGTGTGGCTCTGGGCTCTGCTCTGCCCAGGTCATTCCACTCTGCTCTCATCCCAGATTCCCCTCCCAGTCTCTCATCTCAACCTCCACTGGCATTCCTGACCAGAGACAGTTTTCTTCACTTTGCAATGACTGTCAGGAGACAGAGAAGCGATTTAGTTGGTGACACATCCTACACACAGTCTCCACACTCATGTCTCCAGTGTTGAACTGGTTTCTGTTTTGGCAATGAAGTAATGCTGGTTTTTATGTTAAAAGACTGGTTGAGTCCTTCTTGACACAGAATTTCTGATTTGCAGCTTGTTGTTAGATTTAGAACTCACCCTTGAGTTGTGTTTGACAACACAACTAATTCTGCCTTGCTGAACAGAGACAGAATCAAGTACACAACATGGTTATTCTGGGGAAATGTTTCCTAATCCTTTTCTTTAAGATCAAATGACCCAAGCCACCAGAATGGCTTTTGGTTTGTTGACAGGGAGAATGTGATCCTAGAAAAGCACACTAGATCAGAATCAAGCTGCTGCACTGCCAACAGGGTCAATTCTTAGCAAATCCCTCTGCACTTCAGCATGGCAGGGAAACACACCTGGGATCTCCAGCTCTGGAATGCAGTAGGAAGAACATCCAAAGTAGCTGAGGTTCAGAGCTTTTGCTCTCAGAATTGGGGTGGAGGCGGTGTAGAGGAGCCTGTGAAACCCATGCCGAAAGCAGAGATCTGCTCTGTTGCCTGACTGGGCCTGTAGCTCCTCCACGTGTTTTTGAAGGACTGGGTAAAGCTGTGAAGATAAAGAGTTTCCTCTGCCTTCCTGGAAAGCCCTCAGCGGAGTGGGAGCAGTCACAGTGCCAGCCTGGGACGTGCCGCTGTCCTGTCACTGCCATGCTGGCCTCCAGGCACTGGCACGGGCAGCTGGTTGCCAGCACTGCTGCTGCATCCGTGTCTGCAGGAGGGACAGGGATGGAGCTCTACATCAATGCTTAAATATTCTGCATCTGGCAGGGCCTTGGAGAGGGCAGGAGGCTGTAAGGGAGTGTGGTGGCATGGCTCGTGAGGGCTGAACAGGGAGAAACAAACAGCTCCTGTGTGTTCATGACTTCGGCTGGGACAGTTTGCTGTTCCCAGGAGCGGGTTCAGAGCTGTGTTTGGGCTCAGGAGGAGGCTGCTGTTGACAACAGCCAGACAGCTCAGCTGCTGCTGAGCAGTGCTTCTCAGGCTCCCAGGCTGCCTGGGCAGCGAGGAGCTGGGAGGGGGCAGAGGCAGGAGAGCTGCCCCAGAGCCCAGAGGGATGTTACAGGGCATGGTGCTGAAGGACACACTGCAGGGATTTGGCTGAGGGGTGAGGGCCACTGCTCAGGGGCTGGCTGGGCATTGCTCAGAGGGTGGTGAGCAAGCACACTGTGCATCACTTGCATAACCATGTTCTTAATGGTTATTATAATTTTCCTTTTCTGTCCTATTAAACTGTGTTTATCTCAACCCACAAGTTTTGCCTTTTTTTCTAATTCTCTCCCCCACCCAGGGACTTGGAGTGACCTGGTTCAGTGTAAGGTGTCCCTGCCTGTGGCAGAGGTGGAGCAAGATGAGCTTTAAAGTCCCGTCCAACCCAAATCATCCTGCGACCCCACTGGGGGGTGAGTTTCCAGTTTAACGATCTATTTCCCTCGATTTCAGAGAGAAGAGAGGTGCAGATCCCTGCAGTCCCTGATGCAGAGGAAGAGGTGAAGGGAGAAGGTGTTGCTGGGCCTCCTTCCACCACTGAAACAAAGGAGACAGAGGCCGAGTCGCTGATGGACAGAGCAAGAGCTCTGCCTGACACCACACCTGACACCGCGGGTGGATCTCCCAATTCTGCTGAGACATGGCAGGAGGAAGAGGGATCCTCACTGCTGGAGGATGTCACAGCTCCAGAGAGCAACGCAGAGCCCTCGGCTCAGCGTGGAGCTGGAGACTCTGTTGAGGTGGCTTCCCTGGTGAGAAAGGTGAGGGTCCTGCTGGGGAGCAGCTGTGACTTGTTGCTCTCTTGTGTGAAGTGAGGAGGCCAGGCTGCATCCCCCACTTCCCTTTGTCCACGTCGGGGAGCTGCTGCCTGGCTTCCTCCAGGAGAAGCTTGCTGTGTTTGCTGACGCCGTGTTGTGCCTGCGGAGCTGCGGTGCTGGGGGAAACCACAAATTACACGAGTCAGCTTAGACACTGCAGTGCTGCTCTGTGCTCCTGCTGAGCAAGTCTTGAATATTAAACCTACACACTTCTCAAGAGTTATTTGCATTTCACTGGCTGATCTTGTCCCTCCTCTTCCTGATCATTCTCTGTTAGCCCCATGTAGCAGGAAGATGTCTGTACTTGCTGCAATGGATGAGGTGATAAAGAGTTTCCCTTTGGCAATGAATAAACAGAAATTGTGGTCTTTGTTTTTTTAATAGAAAGCAAAGAAGTCCATCTCTGGGGAACAGGACTCTCTGCTTCCTCAAAGCACAGCACCAGCTCAAACAGCAGAGTTGACTGACACAAGTGTTGCTCCTCAAGAAATCCAACCTCCCAGCGGTGAGGGAGCAAAACCAGGTGCTGATGGACAGGGATGTACTGATGCCAGTGGAGACACACCTGAAGGCAACAAGAATTTGGCACACCCGGGGAAGAAAGCTAGCAGCCCAGAAACAGAGAGACTGAGCCCTGCAGAGCAGAGCAGCACAGCTGGGGGGGCTGCCCCAACTCCCAGTGCCACAGCCCCACGGGACAAGGTGGAGGATGGAACAACTGAGCACAGAAGAACAGCCAGGGGTGATGTGAAATGGGGCAGTGGTTCCCCTGGCCAGGGGCCAGCAGCCACAGCAGGTTCCCAGGCCTGGGACAGCAGCAAGGAGCTGCTGCCAGCAGAGCAGGGAGCGAGTCCCTCT